ACGCTGACGCAGGCACAAAGGGGATATGACGCCATCGACAGGCGACCGGTGAAACGCAGCGTTACCTGAATAAAATGACAGATTTCTCTGAGTTTGAACATTGTTGAAAACATTTGGGATAATGTAAAAACTCAAGTACATAGAGAACATAAAGCCAAAGTTTATAGACATTTTAGTGTGGAAATGTTACATATTATAGCTTTTAAACACTCTGTCAATGACTAAAATAAACAAATTGAACCAATGGAGAGTTCACCTGAGGGGTAAAATAATGGAAACGAAGGTTGGCAGTTCTTCTTGTTGTGTTGAAACAGGAAACTTCCTGTTGATTTCCCTTCATTTGAAGTTGGATGGATGTTTTCAAACCGCACTTTGGTCCAGAACTTATTTGTGCTGTTGTGTTTCAGGCTGCAGTGACGTGGCGGAGGCTTTCCGGCTGCAGGAGATCGACGGCCAGGCCCTGCTGCTGCTGACCGAGGATCACCTGATGACCAGCATGAACATCAAACTGGGGCCGGCTCTCAAGATCTGCGCCCACATCAACTCGCTGAAAAACCAGTGAGAGAAAACACAGACAGACGGACAGACAGAGAAAAAAAGAGAAGGTCAGGGCGGGATGTCGAAGGAAAACAGGCAATAAAGATGTGCGAAAACCGAAAATGGAGGAAGTTTAAAGGAGAGTTTTTGTGGTTTACGGAAAAAACAAAAAAGCTGACACCAAGGATGACAGAACAAAGTCACAAAAAGAGATTTGTGGTAATTTATGAGATTATAAATCGAGGTGTGGCCTTAGACGGGAACAGAGGAGGTTTTTGCAGAAGCATGAAGACACCAGAGTCCAGAAGAAATGTCATCCAGTTTCGGGCCCTCTGACTGTAGCAGGAGACGGGGGGGATTTTTGTAACTTTGTGTACATTTTACATGCCGCTGGAGAGTGTAAATTTGAAGCTATTTCATGAAGGATTTTGAACATTTAATATATAAAATTTGTCTATTTAGTTTTTTTAGAACGTGACGTCCATGACAAATCTATCCCGTAGCTAACATAACCGGTGTGTGTAAAACAAAAAATAATAACAATACGTAGACTTTGTAAGTGATTAATGAAAGTTTAATGTTTTATATCACTATATTCTGGACAAAAACATGTCTGTGGATTAAAAAGAAGTCACTATCAGGGTAGAGACTGGTGTCTTTAATCGTCACATTTTTATGGTATCCTGCTTGAAATTATTTAATAAATGAATAATTAATCAAATCGATTGGTTTATCTTATTGTTTGAGATGAGATTAGGAGGTTTGGTGGTGTTTTCTTTCACCAGCAGAGGGCCACAGTGAGACAGGTGAGTGATACATAAAGAAAAATCTGTCTTTTATAAAACCAAACTGATTTGAATTCCTCTCACAAGTTTCCTTCCGGGTGCTTCTCCAGATCCACAACCTTTAAATATTCCAGGTCTGAATGCTGCTGCTGCTTTCCTGGAGGATTTAGGTTTTTGTTTTTCTGTCTGTCTCTCCATATCTGGTTTAGGTTAGGATCTCACAGGCAGCTCTGATTGGTTTAAAGTTTGGACTGAAGGGTTTGTTTTTCACCACACCCTGTAATAAATCTTATTCCACGCATTTCTCTGCGGATCAGCCCCGGGCGCACTAACGGGACACAGCAGGATTACTTTTTTAATTTCTTCAAATTTGTAACAGATTCGGATCTTAAAATACTTTTTTATTTAAATCCCATTTGGAAAAATATCACATTTCATTGTAAGTGAGGACCGCAGAGAGCTCTTGGAGAACTACAACCTGAGGATACAAACACATCTGGAGAAACACATATTAGTTTTTCAGCCTCTGGAACCATAAAACAAGACTTTTTAATTTAACACAACTGCAGAGAGAGAAAGAAAATATATTTAAACACTAATCTGTTTCTAAAATTCTCGCATTGTTTAAGAAAGTGTGATTCTTTTTGTCGGAGCGGAGCGCGTAAATACGCACGGCGGCGGCTCCATGGCGCACATGTGCAGGCAGATCACCGGCAGCGCGGCGAGCTGTGCGGGCTGGGTCGGCATCATCGTGGCCACGGCCACCAACGACTGGGTTCGGACCTGCGACTACACGGTGGCCACCTGCGTCCGGATGGACGAGCTGGGCTCCCGGGGACTGTGGGCAGAGTGCGTCATCTCCCCGGCGCTTTATCACTGCGTGGCCCTGAACCAGATCCTCAGCCTGCCCGGTGAGAGGGAGGGAGGCAGGGAGAGAGGGAGAGAGGGAGGGATGAGCTTAATTCTGATTATTATATCACATATATAAAACCGACTGTATTAATTAGAACAAATTAATCTGTGATAAAGGTTCTTAAAAGGATTTCTCTTTTTAACCCACAGTGTGTTTTATACTGTTTTACTCTCTCTCTCTCTCTGTCTGCCTGCCTGTCTGTCTGTCTGTCTCTCTGTCTCCCCCCCCTCTCTCTCTCTCTCAGCCTACGTGCAGACCTCTCGTGCCCTGATGATCTCCGCGTGCCTGATGGGCCTCCCTGCCATGCTGCTCGTGCTCATGTCGATGCCCTGCGTCAGGCTGCAGAACGACACCTCCGCCATCAAGCTGCGCCGCGCCCGCGTGGGAGGCGTCCTCTTCATCCTCATCGGTGAGGAGGAAGCCTCGCCCACCACGACACGAACCACACATACACCACATCACAAGACACACACACACACAGAGTGAGCATCAATCAAGGGTTAATTATCCATATGAAATGTATCTCTCTGGCACCCCCCTGTGGTAGGAACATAAAGACACCACCAGCACATGTTCATGGTGTTTAATGCAGTGGTCATCTCATTGAAGGGCCACTTCAAGCTCTACATGAAAATCCCATAATATTCTGAAATATTTCCATGACTAACATCATACGACGGCAGTTTGTATACATTTTTATATCATCATTTCATCACTTTAAAGGCCTGAAACTTGCTCTCTTCTTCATCAAGATCTTTGAGCTTCGCCATTATTTTGCACCAAACTAAATATATTTTTAAAAATAGAATTGGGTTTTTATTTTGATTGTATATGAAGGGGTGGTTTAAATTCATATGAAACAACTAGAAAATAACATTAATGATATTTTGGACATCATGTCGCGGGCCAGAGAGAGAGGGGATGAGATCTCTGCTTTAAAGAGACTGCAGTTCGAGGTGTTTTATCAGCAGTTTTATTCGTGTCTATGAGGATAATATAAGCTTTAATTTGGCTGCAGGGGATGTTTGCTGTTACAGTACCATTATTGGACACATGTTGCATTGTGGGATTGTTAGCAGAAAGCAACGTACATGTCATAAACTCTTTTCTTTCCACTGTCTACTCTCAGAATTTGGATGCTCAGATAAAATGGTGGACAGTAAATTTTAGAGCAGTGAAGCTTTCAGAGGAGGGATTGTGTTTTAGAAGTCAGTAGTTTTAGGATGTAGAGTACTCGGGTCTTTCCCAGCTGTTGCAGGAGGAAGGAGGATTGGAAGCAGGGTCAGGGTTTGTCAGACCAGGCCTCATCCGGATCAGGTTCATCTGTCAGACTGGTTTGCTTCCTGTGGGAAGAGACAGGTAGTTCCTGTCAACAATGAAAATTATCTCATCTCCTCTTTAACTCCTCTATCTTGTTGTCTCTTTCAGCCGTGTGTGGCATCATATCGACTGTCTGGTTCCCCATCGGCGCTCACCAAGAGGAGCGTCTGATGTCGTTTGGCTTCTCCCTGTACGCCGGCTGGGTTGGCTCCGCTCTCTGTCTCCTGGGTGGCTCCGTGATCTTGTGTTGCCACGGCACCGACCCGTGGCCCCCGAGCAGAGAGAACAGCTTCTACTACTCCAGACAGGGGGGCACGGCCATGTCGCTGGACCCCCCCGCCAACCACGCCAAGAGTGCACGGGTGTGAAAGATGTGGTTCTCAGACTGTAGATCAATCTGTAATCACAGTCTGTGTGTTTCTTTTGTTTTTACATTCAGCTGAGACAAGTTTGAGAATGATTTCTAATGTGTGAACATGAAGATGTTTATAGAAATAATCTGATTGGTTGGTCAGATAAAATCAACGTGCTGCATTACAAAATCATGACTCAGATTTAAAGTTAGTTTAGTTAAAAACACTAAATTCTTTTTCAACCTGGACTTCACATGTTTTTGTTTCTAAGGGACTAATGGAGACAACCATATTTGAAACTGGTCCAGTATTGAATGTATGTCCAATAAAAGTGTGTGACTTTGCTTTCAAATTAACATTAATGCTAAGAGGGTTACCAAAGCTTGGTTAATCCAGCAACAACTGTAGAACCTGTAGTTTTTAAATATGTGTTTTTTTATATTCTGTTTACCCTCTTTATACCTTTCTGTCTTTACCTTTTTATTTTTATAAATTCACTTCCAGGGACGGGTGTTGCAAATCAGCAGCCGCTGTGAACACTATGATACTTACTATACTTACTTATGATACGTCTGATAGCTGTTTTCAGTCTGTCTGTGTGTACTGTATCTGTCCCAGTCAAACAAACAAAGTCACACAAACTAACCAAGCGGGGCAGTTGTAGACCGGCAACTTCTGTGTTCTGGGAGGTCAAATTACTGTTTTTTCCAATGGAGTCTGGTGGCTTTGAGTGGAGCGATGTAACAGCTGTTTCTTGGTTAAAACAAAAAGGATCTCACTCTTTCACAAAAAGGTCTATCTCTTATTGGATCAGTTTAAAAAAATAGTCACACAAAGACATTGGGTCCAGGTTGAAAAATACTGAAGGTTTCCTTTAAATAACATACTAACAGCATTTTGCAGTCATGATAAACTAAAAGGTGTAACTATGTTCTTAAATGTGCTTTTTAGGTGTGAACTAGCTCGACAGCACTAGTTATTAATGTAACCACTTACACTTCTTTGCTTTACATGGCTTGAAAATAGTAAACTGTTGCTTTCCTTTATTAATGAGCTCCTGTCATTTTTGACTTTAATGTTCACACTTTAAACAGCATTAAAACATTTCCACAATATGACCTTTTTGTTAACAAAGACAGAGATAACCTGCTGTCATCTAACCCCACACAAATAGGTTGTTTTATGTACCAATAACTATCACTTTTTGCAATTTTAGACTTCATATTCACAGTATAATCAATATCTATCAACTGTGTAACTGTATTGTAAGATTTCTGGCTGGAGCTACAAGTAATAAAAGTTTTTAAATAAGAGTCTCAGAATAAATTATTTTATTTTATTCCTGCAACACGAAAAAAAATACAACGGCCCTTCTCATTTACACACATTAACACAGTTTGTTGCTGCAGACACTAAATAGAGCAAACACTCTGTCACTGTAAACACCATTCACTCAAACAAGAAACACAAATGTAGAGTGACCTTCGGGGCTTCAGAAAGTCACAGCAGAGACATTCAGGAACTACAGGAACAAGAAAATCAAAAGAAAATGTGTGAGCTGTTTGTCTTTTAGGCTGATGGCTAATGGAGAAATCTGAGTTGAGAGAGGAGGAAGACACCAGAGGTCATCTTTGCCTTTACAGTTTGCCAGTTGGAACCCATTTTTTATAAGATTTGTAGATAAACTTTGTTAGTGTGGTGTTTAAAAGTTTGTCGGGAGAGGAGAAACACTAAATTGTGCCTTTTCCAGAGAGAGGTTTTGCATTGTAAACCCGCTGTGTCTCACACAGACGTGAAGCAAATTGAGGCTGAAGTTAAGAACGCAGCACAGATGTCGGTGGAGGTTCGCTGTTACCGTTGGGTTGTTGCTGTGTGAGAAAAGGTGAGACACCAGAATTTACTGCAGCTGCTCGTCCAGTGAGACATCTGTGATGGGAGGTGTCCACTCCCCCATCTTTAATGATATTCAGGTGTTCGCTCCGAGCAGACACAGACACGGTTTCACTGGTGAATATTAAAATACAATCTTGTGATGTGACTGCTTGTCTTGGAGAATATTTGATTCAGTGTCTCATGAAGAAGGCACTTTCAAAGTCATCATTTCAGATCTTTTCAGTTTGGAGGAACATCCATTCAGTCCTCTTCTTCACCCACATCAAAGCCATGATTGGTCCTTCCTCTGGACCTGCTCCCTCTGCTCACATGCTGGCCTCCTGGTCCAGACTGGTACCCATGCTGGTCTCCATTATCCTCATACTGGCTCTGATACTGCTCTCCATCCTGGTCGTCACACTGGTTCTCCTCCTGATTGTGCTGCTGATGGTCGTATCCCCTCTCCTCTGGGGCAGACCAGCCCTGGTAGGGCCTCTCGTCCTGGTCCTTGGGGTAAAGGTCGTCGTCGGGGGAGAAGGTGTCGTCGAGGTGGTCATCGTAGCGCTGGTAGGAGCTGGCGTGCGCCTGCTGCTCCCGGGCGTTGAGCTCCAGTGTGCTGTGCCACACTCCGTAACAACTGTAGATCAACAAACCTGGGGACGCACAGACGGTAACTGTTAGACACAGAGAGAGCAGGTAACGGTCCAGCTGGAGAGAGTTATCGACCTTCATGAAGTCCAGAAGGCGGGAAACTCTTCCCTCGCTTTGTCATCTGTCTGCCAACTGCAGACAGAGATCAAAGTCTGGATGTACAGTAAGTTCTTCTCTCTGGTGCCTCAGCAAAATGAAAGAGACAGACAGAGTCATCTAGGGCAGTGGTTCCCAACCTGGGGGTCAGGACCTCCATTAGGGGTCACAAAAGCTTCACATGGGGTCGCGAAGTCTTCTTGATTTTAAAGGTTGTCAGAAAAAATATACATGGTAGGCCTATATCTGTTAATTTTCTAAAGTTTAGTATTATTTAAGATCTAAACTGAAGAAGAAACCTATTAAATATATATGATTGTTAAAAATACATGATACAGACAGTATTACTATTCACAGGAAATAATCTGCTCAAAATTCATCAAATTTATGCAAACTTCCTGCAGTTATTGCACTATTTGGGCTTTCTGTACTGTTATTATTATTATTAAATATAATATAAAATATCAATAAAATACGTCACTTAGTCAGGGGCCAGTGATAAAAAAAGGGTCTCTTAAGTTTCAGCGTCAAGGACCCCAAAATTGATACACATCAGGCCATATTTGATAAGATTTTAAGTCTCAAGAATCCCTGCTGTAGATTGGCAGACTGAAGAGTGTGAAGACTATGAACACAAATACTTTGTTACTGTACCGTTTTTTCAGGTATTTTTACATTACTAACTACTTTCTACTGTTTGCATTTTAAAAACAGGCTTGTTACTTTAGTTTTAATGTGTTTGAAGGGGATTCATTTATGGTATTTTAGATTTGTTTCCTGTGATATATTATTCAGTTTACATAGGGACTGTTGCTGCTCTAGAAAACATATTTTGTTATATTTAGAATATAAATAAATTCTTATCCAGTTCAGGACATTTTTCTTGCTAATGTCTGAGTGTTTTATTAAATAATGTAATGATAATAGTCTAAAATTATGTGAAAATGCATAGTTATGTCAAATAACATCAACATTTCTAAGCACCTAAGACCTCCAAAAGAGTACTTTTTACTTGTATAATTTGAGTACATTTCAGAGCCAGTACTTTTTCACTTTTTACTCGAGTAAAGAAGTTGAATCAATATTTTTTTACACAAGCATCTCTACTCTCTATCTGTCTGCTTAAGTAAAGAATGTGTACTTTTGCCACCTCTGGTATTTGCCGAACCACAATCGCGATGAACTAGTAGCCAAAAGAAGAAAAGTCTTGGAGGGAAATAGAGAATCTAAAAATGCTTCCCCGTGCACAGATTCGCCTGCTTTCACCTCCAATGCTGCTGGCTTATGAAATGAAAACACTTGTGAAACAAGGATGAAACATAAAGCACATTATCATGTGTACTGTGAGAGATGTATGGCTGGTTTCAACCTGTGTTGACTGAATAACTAAACGGGCAGAGCAGACTATAAGATAGACACAAAGTAAAACTAAGCACCGGTGCAACTGAAGTAACTCAAACCATACGCTAAAACAGATGTCTATCTTAAATCCTCTTCCAAGATTGTTGAAGTTGTTGTAGAGTCATTTCTCATCTTTTATGTCCATTCTTCAAATGGGCTGTCGCAGGCAGCCAGAATTTAAACATCCTGAATGCACATTTGTCAAAAACAAATAAAAACATCTTGTAGGGAGGAGCTGGGACTAAGTTGCCATATGATGATCAATAGTGGCTCTTTTTCTGGGTTTTTTCTTCTAACCACATGTGACTGACTGTAGGTAGACTGAGAGGATAACAGACTTTCATCACATTACAATTCAAACTGGACTATTATCACATAATGTACTCCTATAGTTATATATTACATTATATGTCCTGGTCATTTATTACTGATAATTACCATCACTATTTTCTATAGTAAACCCAAGTATACCAAGGCACACTTTAAACACACTTTAACAGTTTCCTCCTATTTTCTATATCCAGACAGCTTATCGTGCATTATTCACACTGCATTTTAAATCTCTAATGAAGAATGTGTTATCTCACCTATGAAGCACCAGACAATGAACCTGGCCCAGGTGAGTGGAGACAGTTTAAGCATGAGGTAGCTGTTGACCAATATAGCTGCCGCAGGGACAAAGGGCACGCAGGGCGCCATGTAGGGCAGTTTCCTCCCACTCTCTGGCTGCTGTAGGATCATAATCAAAAGCTTTGCCATGGACCCCGCCATCAGTGTGGCAGTGAGGCCTGAAAACACCGCCCCAGCACCTGTCCCCTGCTCAACACCAAATATAACGGTGGACCAGAGGAGGAAGGACATGAAGAAGAGGAGAAGGGTGCATCGGGTCACTATGCGGCCGGTGGCAGGAGTGGGCCGGGCCGTTGCATCTGGCATTCCCAACCGCAGCCTCAGGGTGTAGTAATGACCTCCCAGAAGCCTTTTCAGCAACGAGGCGTGACCCGTGTGGAATTCAGAGTCGTCACCCTCGCCTTCATTGCCGCCAGCGTGGTAGGACGACGACCCATCGCCATCTGAGCCTCCGATCAGCATCTCGTCGTCTTTTGTTGGGACAGCCCCATCGTCCTGGTGCTTCAGGCCGTCCACATCCTCCCCGGAGTTGAACTGGTGAGTGTCGGTCTGTTCGTCAGGCTGGTAGCGGAGCAAGAGCACACACACGCTGACCAGAGTGTAGGCCAGCAGAGTGCCGATGGACATCATCTCGATCAGGTCTCTGAGGCTCACCAGCAGAGCGAGGATGGCCGCGAAGCTCCCTGACACAACACAGGCCGCCGCAGGAGTGTGTGTGAACGCAGACACGTGGGACAAGAACCTGTAGATTAACCAGAGAGTTACCCAGCAGTCATCATCCTACCTGTGCATGTGTGTGTGTTTGCATCCTCACCTGAACAGCAGTCCATCCCGGGCCATGGCGTAGATGACTCTGGGCATCGGGAACAAAGAGCCTAACAGAGAGACGGTGAGCCCAGCTATGGAGCCCACGGCTACGATGTATTTCCCCCACAGGAAGCCGTGCACTGCAAACATCTCCATGAGAGGAGCCGAGCCGTCAATCAGGTTGTAGGGGACCATGAGAGTCAAGATCACACTCACCTGTAGAGAGGAAGGGTGGGGGAGGAGGACGGATGTAAGAATATCTAGATCAAATCAGATATCTTGTACCCATGCAAAATTCTGGAGGAAACACTCAATCTCTCAGAGGAACAAGCGTACAGAAGCACCACGCTGTACTGACCGACACGTAGGCCGTGAGGCAGGTGACCAGTGAGGCTGTGATGGCGTACGGGATGGAGGTGTTTGGGTTTTTCGCCTCCTCTCCTGTCGTTGCGATGATGTCAAAGCCGATGAAGGCGTAGAAGCACGTCGCTGCACCTTGCATCACCTGACCAGCAACAACAAGAGATCACTTATTTTCTTTTCCAGTCATTTTCAGGCGACTAAAACAAGCAAAGTGGTTCGATATCTCACCCCGGACCAGCCGTAGGGCAGGAACTTGCCGCTCCCCCAGTTGCTGGCGGAGAGGAAGAAGAGTCCGGCGATGATCATGAAGACCCAGACCACCAGGTTGACCACGTTGAGGACGTTGTTGAAGATCACTGAGTTACGCACACCGAGCGCGATGACTACTGTGACCAGCAGGGCGATAAACAGGGCCAGCAGGTCAGGGTACGTGTCCTCACCCTTACCTGAGACAGACAGAGA